AGAACCCTGATGTCATTGCATTTCTAAAGGCCCACTGTGGGGAAAAATTCATTTTCTCTAAATATTTCACATCACAAATACAAGCCATTTCTTCAGTACCAAGACGTGGATTTTGTACATGTTTATATCTCCACGGCACCAGCACATCCCTAAACGAATGATCAACAGATGCTCATGTTTAAAGGTGGCCCAGGACTTGCCGGTTTGCTTCCTCTTTTTTTTGCAGCACCACTTCTGAATCTTTCTTATTTGTTGCACAAGAAGACTGTGTGGAATGGTGAAAATATGCTGATTTAGGGCTGGAAGATAAATGTTCAAGTCCGGGCTCGATACTTTTCGCAGTATGACCTTAAAACACTTAACCTGTGCCCTATTTATTGTCTGCAGAAAGAAAGTTTAACCAAATTTCACAAAGCTTTAGTGCATACTGGGGAAAGTCGGTTCCCCCATCCGATAAACGGGAATAGTAAGAGTACTTATTTGATATGTTTAGAAGATTAAATAAGATAATACAGGTAAAGTACATAGTAAAATGCCTGGCACAGAGTAAGTGCTCAATAACTAACTATTTTTCATGTCCCTTGTGCTAGGTGTTGGATAAAATATCTATCTTGCAGGGTAACAAGAGATATGTATGGAGTTGGAATAAAAACCATGTTAAATAAATGGCAGTTCCTCTCTCATTTCTGTTGATAGAAGGGGAAACTGGGACACACATAAGTTAGTAACATGCTGAGTGGAAGCCTGGAGAGGCTGCCCATCTCCTGCCCTCCACGACCTAATGCACTCACGCCCTCAAGCTCAGGGGAGTGTTAGTATATAGTGGCTGATAAGTCTCAGCTGAGCTCCTCTGTGGGATTTTGCCTTAGTTGAAGAGAACTACCTCACCCAAGGTCACACCTCTTCTCAGGGCACCAGTGACTTGAATCCAATGACTGACTGAAGTGGGGATATAAAGGCCGAGCTCTTAGCCCCAATTCAGGACAAGTCTGAAGGGTCATCCCGGCTCCAGAGTTCCCTGAGATCAGCTGAAGCATTCTAGGCAATTGAAATGCAATTCAACTTCTCCCCCTGCCCAATCTTGCTTCTTTCACTCCCCTAAAAGTATTGATCTTGAGAACACGCCTGCATACAAATCTGTCTCAGAGCCTGCTGCCTAGGGAAATGACTTATGACACTTGCCCAAAGTCAAAAAGCTAATGAGAGATCAAAATGGGATTTACTACAGATGTGCCAGCATAATTCCACAATTATGAAATGAGCAGAAGAGACCAAATGAAAGACTGAACCAAAAGACCCATAAGGTAACATTATAAATAATATCCTAAAATATTCTAATGTCATGTTTTGTGGATCCACATAAAAATGAAGAATCTCTACTAAAGCTGGGCTGATGTGAAACAAGAGAGCGTCCATTCCCACGTGGAGAAGAGAAGGGAAGGTTATGAGGAAGGCGGCTTTCTATCTCACTTCAGAAGCAGAGACTAATGGGACAAAAAGGCGTTTTAAAAACAGAGTAGTTCCCACCTTTTATTTTACACCAGAGGAAACTGCAACCTAGAGGGGTACTTCACTTACGAAGGGCACAAAGTAATAGAGTGGCCTAGTCCAGGCCTCTTCACCAGAGTCCTTCAGCTTTGTCTTCAATATGTGATTCTGACGTTTTATGTAAAGTATAACACCCACGAAAGATTCATATATATTTACTTCTAAGTTTAAAATGTATTATAAAACTAAATATGACTTTTGAATGAAGCGTTAGTGTCACTCTTGGCTCCCATCAGTGTGGATAGGAATTTGACTAGGTTATGAGTTTTCACAGAACAGTTTTATGAAGAAGCTTAGAATTCACTATCTGTAGCTCTAACTACATTAGCAGTTAAAGTTCATCAAACATTGCATCTTAATTGCCTTATCTCAAAATGAGGATACTAATTATCTCATTCAATAGGATACCTTAAAGACTAAATATTTAATGGTACCGATGCAGTCTAAATGCCACATAAAGAAATAACATGACAATATACATGGCAACTTCTAACAGGTTAACATTATAACTGGTTAATTTTATACATATCTGATTGAAAAGAGCCTAAGTAAGACAGAGAACATTTAGACATCTGTTTCCAATCAGGAGAGCAAGATTTAATCTGATAATTATACATTTACTGAAAACATCCCAATTCAAATAAGAAAGGTCTTGCAAATCTCTATCATAGGCAAATTTACCAAGAAACCTAAGACCTTTGATGAAAGGGTAATGGAATGGAAGTTAAAAGCAAATTCATCATTACCTTTATAATGTTTTATAATTATTAAAATAAAACATGGCAGCCATAATAAATGAGGAAAATATCAAGGACATTTTACACATTTTAAACTAATAGGTACTAACTATATTACTCATTTTTCTATAATATTTGCTTGCTAGAAAACTTTCAACATCTGTCTTTTAGTTCAATGAAATAATCATAAATATGATTTGCTAAGAAGCATTAACTTTTGCCCTTTGCACATCTAGTCTTTTATGCAAAATACTCAAAAGAGCAAACTTGGTTCTAAAACACTTAAATATTTAAAATGTTTGGGTATATTACATTTACTTTGCTTGGAAAAGCTAAGGAGGCCCCATGCAAAAGCCCCTCCTCATAGCACAGCTTGGCCCAGGGGTTCTCTCGTGCCAGAAATAAGCTTTAGGACCCCTTTACATGTGGTTTAGCTCCCTGTCTTTTAACAAACTAAAAGAGCAGTCCTAAGACTTCATTTCTTTTATCAATTCCCAAGGCTTCTTTGAAAAATCTCTATTTCTAGTCTGCCATAGCTTTTTAAATCCCTCTTTTCTCTTAACCCAGTTTTTCTTTTTCTAGTTACAGTAGTGAGAATTTGCAGATGAAATTATTACAGTTAAAAGAAAAGACATACAGAAGCAAATGTGTGAATATTAGAATTTTATGTAAAGATCAATTGTGGTTAGAAAAGGGATGATAATAGTACTAGTCTAGCTAACTAAGATAATATGGTATAAGCTAATCTGCCTAGCAACCAGCCAATGGTTTGGGTGGAATAGTCACCAATTGATTATTTTATAATGTATATTGATAGATAAATACTTATACTAAGCTAGGGGAAAATTCCAGAGAAACAGCATTTATGTTCACTTTCCATGCAGAAAAATACAGAAAAACACTGTTCAGAACATATTGGACTAAATTTGTGGTCTTCAAAATAATTGACCTCCTTCAAATGGGAGCATCTTAAGACTTTTCAAGGAATAGTTTAAAAAGCACAAATAGTTTTAATGCACAGTTTAAAGAAATTAACTTCTGGATGCTAAATATGGAAATGACCACCTTCCCTAAAACTGTGAGAATAGAAATTATCTCTTTTCAAGGAAAATCATCAAAGATGTAAGATTTCTGACTTTTAAAAGAAAGTTTGTCATGTATTTTTTAAAAAATGAATGATAACAGATATCAAATAGTTATGATAAATATTCTATGGAATATATTAAAAAGGACAATAGTTTAATTCTAAATGTTAAAATTCACACTATCCTCAGAGGCATGGGTTTTCAGGTCACAAGCAACTTGAGTTCAAATTTAAGTTTTACCATTTTTTGGCTGAGCCAATTTGAAGAAATTTTATTTTCTATTTTGAAGATCATATGAGCGGATACAAAAGAAAGTGCTTTTTTAAATTATAAAGTGATAGCACAGGTTCATCATTAAGCCCTTTTCATCTAGGAACCACTGAAAAGTCACAGTTTTACATAATGGTCAAAAGCATGAGCCCAGTAGACTGTGCTGAGACTTTCCTAGAAGTAATGTCATGGCCAGGTTAATTAAACCCTCTGTGCCCCACTGGCCTTACGTGTCAAATGGAGATAACTGAGATACTCACGTTATAGGGCTATTATGAGGAGGAAGTGAGTTAATCCATGGAAAGAGCTTAAAATTGTGCTCAAAAAATTAGTTGCTTTATTATTATTGGTGGTGGTATTGTTAATACTATTCTCTGATTCTCAATGTAAAATAGAGATCGAGAGATTACTCATGCGAATGAATATTGTTGCATTAAGAGCCAACACGAAGGGCTGCTGAGTCTATAATAGGACTTTAACAATAAAAGCCACTAATAGAGCTCCTTGGTTTCACAGCAAAAGTATGTGACAATGATCCAGTGAAGTTCTCTGCTGTAAGAGAACTACCAAAGTAACATGTATCTTCTTCCTTTTCTTAAAGGCCCAAAACCTAAAAGAACATATTGCAATTTGTTCTCCAAAGAATACCATGTGATGTATTCACCATAGGATTATATCTGGTCCTTAAGATGACACAGTGTTAGAAGTAATTTTGCAATATGGCAGAACATTTGACCTTATGTAAAGGAGTTCTGACACGGAAGTACCAAAAGACATCTTTATAAAATATCCTTACCTATTATTAACATACCAAACACAGAACTGAAGCAATGTGACACAAGCCCTTTGAGCTCTACTTGTAATTTTTTCATCATTTTAAAACTATTATTGGAATATTTTTAAAATTAGAGGTAATTCATAATTCCTCATTCATACTCTTTAAAATACATATATTTTAAAGAAAAAATTAGTGTTCCACCTCTACCCCTGACTTTTCAAATGACGTTCAGAATAAGCTGCATAATTTTTCAGGAATTATTTTATGTTATAAGTGTTAACTTGAAGTCAGTTTTCATAAATTTTGGCTAAAACACTAACCAAAATGTGAAAACACAAAGCTCAAAAAAGTTAGTTTAAGAAAAGCATTTAAAACACCACGTTTTAACTTTTAAAAAGAAGTTCAGGTAACTATAACATAGTTATAATGTGTCAGACAGACACATTATATACTGTTTTCTAGCTTCATTTAAGCAATGTATTTGAGTTAAAACTCAGGATATGTTCAATAGTCTTAGATTTTTGTTAACAAATAACATGTATTGAGAAGCAATAGATCAACATTAGGAATTTTTAAACTTACAAGTATGTCTGGCCAGTGAGTAGTTGGATCCACCACTAGTCAAACCAAATCCCTCAGGAATTTGACTAGAGCTTCGAGGTCTGGTCAACAGTTTAGGAGGTTCAATTTCAGCACCAAATTCAGCTCCTATTACTCCTAGTAGAACAATAGCAGTGGCTTGTTTCCGTCTTTCCTCATAAGATGTGGAAATTTTTTTCATTTGTGGGACATTTGCTAAGCAACCTGAAAACCAAAAACATAAGAATATAAATTAAAAGAATATCAATATAAAAAAGACATGTGATTATAAAAACATTCAAGATTGCTCATTCAGGAAAGAATAGTCTTTTCAACAAATGTCACTGGGACTACTGGTTATCCACATGCAAAGGAATGAATCTGGATTTCTACCTCTGACCATGCAAAAAATCAACTCAAAATGGATCACAGCCCTAAATATGAGCTAAAACTAAAGAACTTGCATGAGAAAATATAAATGCATTTTTTCATGATCATCAGGCAATATTTCTTAAATATGATACCAAAAGAACAAGTAAGTTAAAAATATTTTTAAGTAGACTTCATCAATACTAAAAACTTTTATACTTCAAATGATAGGTATTAAGAGAATAAAGATAACATATAGACTGAGAGAAAATATTGTCAATCATACAACACTAAGGGATTGTATCCAGAATATATCTTACAATTCAATAGGAAAACCCAACTTTTAAAATGGGCAAACAATTTGAATAGATAATTCTTCAAAGATATATAAATGGCCAATACACACATTAAAAGATGCTCAATATCACTGGTCATTAGGAAAACGTAAATCAAAACCACAATGAGATACTACTTCATATCCACTGGAATAGCTGTAATTTTTAAAAAACAGACCATAAATAACATGTGTTGTCAAAATAATACAGAAATTGAAACCCTCATTGCTGCTAGGAATGTAAAATGGTATAACTACTTTGGAAAACAGATTGGGAGTTCCTCAAAAGTTAAACATAGAATTACATATGGCCTAGCAATTCCACTCCTGGGTCTCTACCCAAGAGAAACGCAAACGAATGTCCAATCAAGGACTTGTACATGCATATACACACCAGCATTGTTCATAACAGCCAAGAAGTGAAACGACTCGAATGTCCATCAACTGATGAATGGATAAACACAATGTGGTATATCCATTAATAAAATACTATTAAGCAGTTAAAAAAATGACGTGCTGATACATACTGCAGTGTGGATAACCTTGAAGACATTATGCTAAGAGAAAAGTCCTCACAAAGGGCCATATAGTGTATGACTCCGTTTACATGGAATGTCCAGAACAGGTAAATCTATGTAGACAGAAAGTAGACTAGCGATCGCCTAGAGCTGAGATGGAGGTTAAATGGTTAATGATGGCTAATGAGTTATTAGATTTCTGAGGTAATGAAATATTCTAAAACCAGATTATGGTTATATCTGCACAACTCCAACAATACTAAGAATCACTAAATTCTACATTTTAAAAGGACAGATTTTATGAAATATAAATTATATCTCAATAAATCTCTTTTTACAAAAGAATTGCTCATTAGCTCATTTATTATTTTGCTCACTAATTTAACAAATATTTATTGAGCATCTACTTTGGGCCAGTGAGTTACAAACATAAAAATAAATAGTCCAGGTTCTTAAGAAACTCACTAATGCATGAAAAAAGCCTGTTCACAAAGGCAAAAATTCTGAATTTAAGACTCAAAGGATAAGTAGGAGTTTGCCAGACAGTAAGAGGGATGGGCAATAAGAGAAGGCAAAGGATGAGAATTTCATCCGGATGAACCAGACGTAGAAGTGCAAACAGGCATTTAAAGAAGTATTTATAACCTGGGCAAAGCTCACCATAACTTCATATTCAAAAGGGATACCAACATGTACCCAAAACATAATGTAAAACAATTTTAAATCTTCATTAAAGTATCAATAAATAGGAGGTAATTAGAGGAATTACATTCCTAACATATAACACTATTTAAAGCTTTTTTTTGCTAATCTTTCTCTCAGTCAAGAATACACCTCATTCATGCTCCCCAAATTCTAAGACTTAGTCCTTTGCTCAGTCCTACCCACTTTCTAGTTCTACTTCTTTCTATAAATGGCCTACCTTTTAATTTTTGTTTGGTATTTATTATGCAATATTACAAACATCCAAAGAATACCATGATATACATGTACACGATCAACTTTATATAATTTTAATGTTTTTCCATAGGTGATGAATTTCAGAAATTTTAAAAATTAACTAATGTAAATATAAATGAAGTCTACTATGGATTGTGTCTTGACCTTACTACCCCTTCTTCATGTTCCAGAGAGCACCACGATCCTGACCTTATCAAATGTTTTTTATCTATTATATAACCATATCAGTGTTATCTGAAATGTTATATATTTTCTGTCCTTTAACTATGCTTGCATTACTGGGATAAACTCTGGATGGATGGATGGATAGACGGACAGACGGATGGATGGATGGAAGGATGAATGGATGAATGGACAGATGGATGGATGAATGGATGTTGATTGATCGATTGGTAGGCAGGTAGATAAACAGACCAATACACAGACTCTGAACTAAATTTGCTAATAGAGTTTTTTACATTTATGTTCATAGATGAGATTGGACTATAATTTTTTCATGTACTATTCTTGCTGGGTCTTAGTAGCAATATGATAAAAGCCTCAAAAATTGGGTTAAGTAACTTTCTCTTTCTAGTTTTTTGAAAAGTTAAAGGATTCTTGACGTTTGATGAAACTTTCCTCTACAATTATCAAGGCCTGTGTCTTAGGACACTCTTCCTGGAGTCAGCGGGCAGGGTACGAAGGTGTGGGGGAGGAGCAGGGTGGAGGGAAAAAATATTTTAAATTATGAATTCATTTTTTGTAATAGTTACTTATTTAGTCTGATTTTCCATTTCTAGAGTCACTTCTGACAGCTTATAGTTTTAAAACAATTATATATGTCATCTAAGTTTTTAAATTTATATTGATGTGAAGTTTACAATATTCTCTATGATTAAAAAACCTCAATTCTATCAGTTGCTACAAAGAGATTATAATCCCTTTATTTGTGCCTTTTCTTCTATTATTTTTCATGCTTTTCTTGATCAATTTTGCTAGAAATATATATTTTTTTCAAATTTTCCTAAAACTTTGGTTTTGATTTTATTGTTGTACTGCTTTCTATTTCACTAATTTCTGATGTTATTTTTACTGTTTCTTCTTCCCTTTTCTTTAGGTTTTCTATTTTTTCTCTTTGTTTTGTTTTTAGGTTGAACATAACTCACTTTCATTGTTTTCAGTTACGGTTAACACTGTCTGTCGCATAGTTAAGATCCATTTTCTTCTTCTCCTTTTATAATACCACCTCAATTTTAACTGAGGAGCAATGTACTCATATCCTTTCAATGTCCTTCCAGGAACTGAGGAAGCCATAGCCTATCTCCTGGCTTTAGGCTTTACTCATGATATATTTTAAGTCCTCTCTGCTCACAGGAGCCAAAAGCCTGCTTCTGGAAAGCAGCTAATGGTTTCAGCCCAGATCATTGAATTTTATTCCATTACTTGTCCACAGAGATATCTATCTTTCCTGAGCCTAGTTATGTCTCTTTGGTTTTCTATTTGTACAATTTATCCATCATACCTATATATTTGGTACAGAGGGATTTAAAAAGTGAACTTCTGGAGCCATCTTGATTGGAGGTCAGCTTTCTGCTCTAATATTAATCCATCCAGCTTTTCTGGCCTCTTTCAGTACACTGCTCTACGCATTAATTAAATCAATACAAAAAAGGGCCACCAGAGCTCAGTATGCCAACTAAGAAATTAGCAGCAGGGGGCTGTGAATACTTTTAGATGTTTTGTTTTATTTTGTCTCTTGTTCTTCTGCCTTGTCATTCTATACTGTTGGAGGTGAGGTAGGGGAATAACAACAGGGGAGGCTGCATGGGTACCAATACACAAGAGGCCTTTGTATGGCAAGCTGAGGACTTTAACGTTTGGTTAATAGAAAGCCATTGAACAATTGTGTATGAGGTGATGACATCGGATTCATTCATCGTTGATAAGATCATGACGGTTGCAGTCTGGAAGACAGACTGTGGAGGAAAACAAGACTGGTGTCAGGTAGAACCAAAAGGTAACTCATGCAATGATCAAGTGGAAAATAGTACCAGTGATGGTAGACGGCATTCATTCCATAAGTTGGTCATTCGGCATATCAAAGCTGAACATCTAGTATGCACATGGCATTATGCTAATATAAATTAATGAATTAATATGAATTAATTGGAATGAGAAAAGCAAAGTCCTTGTCTTTACTGAACTTAAAGGCTACTAAACAGAAATTGGAATTGTAAAGGTTACAAAATCAATGAGAATTTTATGGACTGAGAGAACAGTATATTTAGAAGTAAGAAACCAAAGCATGAAAGAATTTGTTGATTTCTATTTTAAGGATAGGTAACTGGGCTGGAACTCTATGAATCAAGAAGATAATGGCAGAAAATGAGGTAAGAGGCAAGAAAGGGCCAGGTCATAGATGGCTCTCATGGTCATATTTACCATTTACAATTTGTATCCTTTGAACATTGGAAGATACTCAAGATAGGGTTTAAGTCACAGAGTAGATTTAGGGTTTTAGAAAATCATTCTGAGACGTATGAAGAATGCTGGAATTGAAGTGATCAATTAAGAGGGGATTGTACAAAGCAAAGTGAAAGATCAAGGTTGGCTTGGTGCTGGAATGTTAAACCGGAGTTGCAGAGAAGTGAACAGCTTCGAGATCAACAGTGAGGTCTGGGTAGTTGATGGCAACACTGCAGAAAGATTTCAGATGTCCTGCCCTTAATTCTTTTAAAAATCCTAATGGACTACGACAAAAGTAAAACAAAACAAAACCGTTGTCAGAGAGGTATGGCCTTTCCAGAAGCTGAATTAAAAAACCCATAGAGCTCAAAGTTTTTTAGAATACACTTTACGTTCCATTTATTCAGCTGTGCTGAACTGCAGAGTAGAATGTAGGCAAGAAGACCTACTCGAGTCTAAGAAATGGAACTGGTAGGATACTGTAAAGAATTTAAAAGTTGGAAAGGAATAATTAAGTGAAAAAGCGGCATAAAGTACTTAAGGAAAATGAGGGGTGGTTATCTAGAAAACTAAGGTGGTAAAATCAAAGAATATTTACT